ACGAAATATATATTTTTCAATGCACTTCACATAATGGCCCGTTTTAATCATATTAAAATTTCATTATACTATGTAAAGAAACTCAGCTACCTACAACAGCGACGCAATTATTGATAAAACCCCACATATGGAATTATACATATGGAATTATATATATATATATATATATATATATATAAATGTATATTTGGGTAGGAACCTTTCTTTCAAAAATCTTTCATTAAATGCAGCCGACAAGGAAAATATAATATCCAATATTCTTACGCTTTTCCGTTTTGTAGGAGTAAGAGAGTACAAATATTTTCCATAATTTTATTGTCCCAAGCGCTTTAGGCCACATCTATACACACACACACACACACACAATATATATATATATATATATATATATATATATATATATATATATATATGTGTGTGTGTGTGTGTTTGTGTAATCACTCTCTATATATATGAATGAAAATGGAATTTTATAAAAGAAAATGGATTTATCCAACTTATTCGGAGGGATGGCAATGATTAGAAATTTTTGTAATTATATCGGGCGATGAGAGAGAACGTTTGATATACAACGTTACTTCTTGGGGTATCAGTGTGAAACGACTCCAAGCAGTGTCAGTCGAATTTCAAATTTCGGTCCGCCGATTTCGTTACTCATGCTAGAATACATCACTTTTCACTATTTTCGACATCTATCTATCTATCTATCTATCTATCTATCTATCTATCTATCTATCTATCTCAGTCTATTCATATCTATCTATCTATCTATCTATCTATCTATCTATCTCCGTCTATTCATATCTATCTATCTATCTATCTATCTATCTATCTATCTATCTATCTATCTATCTATCTCCGTCAATTCATATCTATCTATCTATCTATCTATCTATCTATCTATCTATCTATCTATCTATCTATCTCAGTCTGTTCATCTATTTTAAACTCTAAATAACTGTATCACGAAATATGCACATAATTTTTCAGCGGATAACCATATTTGAGTTGATGCACCGTTTACATTTTAAACCATTTCGCTATACACATACATGCATATATATTTACATATAATATAATATAATGATATTTAAGAAGTTTTAGATTATCTGGCACAAGGACACTGATGTTATGCTTTTACTAATGATCGGTAAAAATAGTATTTGTGTGTGAGTGTCTATATATATATATATATATATATATATATATATATATATATATATATATATATATATATATATATATATATATATATATATATATATATATAAACACGATATATAGATAATATATTTACCGACCGAGCAAAATATAATACTATTTAAATTTGGGGCAATTTGAGCCACATAAAATATGAAAATGTAAATAGTGATGCTTTTATATTTTGTGTGCAGCAATCAATAAGAGTCAGTCTGATCGAACATAAGATATAACTTCGAAGAAAAATGAGGAAACTAAGTGTTAATGCAAAATAATTTTTACGTATAAATGTCACAAACATTGGTATCGGACCACATCATGTTATGTATCTATGTATGTAGACATGTGTGTATGTTTGTGCTCATTCTTTCAGAAACAATAAGGAAGGTCAGAAAAGTTGAAATCCGAGAGTAGGCTCTGGGGTTGTTGTCACCAACGTGCCTGAGTTTGTGTCTGCAATAGGGATTGGTTAGCATTTCTAGGTGTGCTCGGAACCCCGTAGCCGACCATTATGGATGTATTTATGTGCTTGTTTTTACATGTTCCTTCTGGGTGCGTATTCGATTTCTTAGTTGTTACGAACACGTGAAACCTCTTGCGTGCTGAAAAAAATTGAATTCATCAAAAAGAACCTAACCTAAGTGCTACGATGTATGTATATATATATATATATATATATATATATATATATGAAGAAAAATATATACGGAAAAAAACAAACAAAAATCCTTATATACAATTATGCTGTTTTAATGTTAATATGTCAACGTCGGACGTTTCGGTCTAATAAACCATCTTCAGGACATATTCATAAATTATAACATTATCAATTCAACATGACAAAAACGATGTACATAAGAACAAGACTTATCCAAACAGATAACTGAAAGTTTTATAAGATCAGCGCTCCGTTTAAAACATGATCTATATCCATATATTTGCTTACACACACACACATGTGTGTGTGTGTGTGTGTGTGTGTGTATATATCTATATATATATATCTATCTATCTTTGTGGCCCAGAGGTAAGGCACGTCAGCGTAAATGACGGTTCCGTATAGGATTCAGGTTCGAATCCTGTCAAAGAACGAATATTTTCTATGAAAATTTCTCGGACATTCAGGCCGGTAAATGTTATTTAATACTGTTTATCATAAACAGAGCATTTGCTTAAATACTTGTATCTATAAATAACAACGTTAAACATAAAAATGTCTTTAATAAATAAATTGTCGGACCTTGTCCATTTCTTAATATATATATATATATATATATATATATATATATATATATATAGC